CGTAAGGGTGGAGGAGGAGCAGTCAAGCGGATCAAAGCATGTCTGTATGCAGTTAAGTGCCCGGAGACGGTGAAACAGGCCGGCGTGCGCCTCAGACAGACGCACCAATCGAGCCTATGAGGCCGCCAAGAGGCTGCTCTCGCAGATATCTTCCGGTCTGCATGTCATCGGCTCGCAAGGAATCCTGGAAACCTGGGAATGAATGACATTTTGCGCTTGGGGCGGTCGACTGTTCTCTAACACGAGGAAACAGTTCGGAGTATTTAGTCATACGTAGTTACAATGACGAAATGCACACCAATGGCAAGTCAAGCTTCTATGAACTTGCCTAGCTTTACTATATCCAGGATACTTAGAATCAAGCACTTTGGCTTCGAAATTCTCCGTCGCGTACACTGTGTGTCTAGTTCAGGACCTATTTCGGAGAAACTTCAAAGTCAAGACGCAAAGTTCGCCGAGCCAGTCACTGCAATCCACGAGCTGAAGCAGGAAACCGGAGTAGTTCCATCTGAAATATGATTTCAGAAACAGAGAGAAAGAAATAGGAAAGCAGCTTGAAAGCAGCTTGAACGGCATCCATAGTCCCTTGGTAATAAAAAAGGGTCAGGACAGCATACAGCATACAAGCATGCGCCAGTCTCAGTGTCAAGGGAGAGAAGGCCGGTACTCCGTAGCCAGTAAGTAGACCATGGAGTAATTTCCGGCGCAATCGTATTCCCAGAAGCCTTGACTTTGTTTTTTCCCAACCTTTCAGGGTCTCGTTTGGGGGAAATGGCTACCCAACGGAAATTGACTGCGCACGTGGGCACCAAAGATAAGACCATCGTGCCAGTGCCATTGTCCATCACTCCATGACCGGCCAATCCTCGTCTAAGTGGACTCTACTGGCAAAGTGCACTGCAGGCTACGAGTCTGAGTCTTCTTGACACTATTCTCCTTCTCTCATGAAAGTAGCCCAGGACTCGTTTATCTACAGAAATGAATGCATACTACATAGTGGGCCTGCCTACATGCCATGTGGTGCTCCTCGATAATCAGGCGATATGAGCGAAGCCAGTCCAGTCCTGGATAGATAGCCTTCAACTACCCTGCCTCCTGAGACATGAAGCTGAGGAATGCGAGCTGCATGCTCGCTTGTGCTGTGTAGCGCGGTTTCCTATGTACCTGCAGTCGGAGAAGGGACCGAATTGTGCAATCAGCCGAAAGAGAGCGATTTAGCCCGGTAGACTGGGATAATGCGGTCATCATCATTGGGTCTTATGGACAGGGAAGGATCATTGCGTAGAGTTCGAAATGGTGTGGCATTAGCTTCTGTTGGAATGTGTCCCCAGTTCAGTCTACAGTTTCCATACAAGCGAGTGAACAGAACCTGGATATGATATAGGAGATAGTGGCTGTTACTTGAATTGATAGAAAGTGAGTCGCAATTCCAGAAAATGGACAGTGACTGGCGCACCGACCAGGCGTGTTCATCGCAATTTCTGAGACGATCTCGCTTACGTATATCAGTCTCCGATCCCACTAACTAGCACGAGCAGCGAGTGACGAAAAGAGCAACATCCACGCGACCCTCTTCTGCCATCAAACTGTAGCGTTATTATTATTCTGCAGACGAGATACTCTGGAAATGAATCCAATTCATCCCTATGCAATTGGAAATGGACATCCAGACATCTGCTGACGTAATCTGGAATTCGCCTGCGCATTCCTGCAATCGTTGCAAAGATACTTTGTTTCAGATATGTGCAGGCACTAACCCACTTGAGTCGAGAATCAAGTTTAAACTACAAACGTATGAGGCCAAGGTGGTACGAAACAGGACCCTGAGTCTGGAAGAGAAGAGCCAAGCAATATGGTTGCGCGTATTGTGGATACGTATTTGAGTCCAGGATTTTGGACTGGGACTTGGTAATGTGCTCATTGGTTCTGTGGGTACGATATTTATAGTAAAGGTTGCGATCTTGAACATAATATAATGGTTTGACATGGTGTCAGTGTTATGATTTATGAACTGCTTAGACTGTTTTCTATGGAGGATCTCATGAGGGTTACATCGGGACCCTGGTCATAGTGTCCAGTTTCAATGCTACAATGAAAAGATGTCTTATTATCTCATTTTATCTTTGCTCTTCTTTAAACGAGGTCTTCGAGGTTCAGACCGTGCCTTTGCTTACTCAGTAATGTCGGCTCAACTACCTCTATACTATGTCGATAAATGTGGATCGAGAACCCAGACCATTCCCCTGGGACATGACATCGAGTAGCAGTGTTGTGTCTTCAGTTCCTGGATAGATTGAAGTTTGCGCACTGTGGACTGAGTGACAGTCAACATTAGTTATGTCTTAGTCATTACCCCTTACAGATAGTTACATGCAGTTGAGGTTTGCTGGCCAAGAACCCACCGGAGACGCTAGGATGCAGATTTGACCCTTAATCAAACACCGACTTGGGGGCCCACCCCTTTCTAACAGATCGGTACTCTGTTTCATCTTTCATTCCAATTATTTCATATCTTATGAATAATGACTACGGAGTACTACATACATTCATCCGCTCTAGCGCAATGGTAGCTATCTTAGTGATAGTGTGCACTATTCCAAAGTCAAGAGATGTATGAAATGACGAGTACCTAATTTTGACCAGATCCAGGAACAGATGACCAGGTAACGCCTGGGACACCTGACAATGCACGTCGGTAGCAGCCTCATTACCCATGGCCCATACCTTGCTCTGGATCACCAATCATGGACGATTTCCAGATTCCCCAGCCCAAAGGCTGACGACGAAGGGGCTTCTCGAAGCTCGACAGTGTTCGAGGATCCATGTTGCTGTCTTGTGTCACTAGTCTTTTTCTGGAAGTTCCTCAGACTCATCAAATCATCCAACCCAATGAACGATCAACTCTCTCACCATGAGCCTAATCCTGATTCGCTAAGATTCCCGAGTCCCCGACGTTGGCCATGCGCTGAGCCAATGAGCTCACAGCAATCATACTCTTGGACATGGGGGTGAAATTCCTCCCTCAAGCATGATTTCAAACCTTCTCAGATGTCTAGGTAAAAATCTTCAGGATGGCTAGAGAGATGCTGTGTAGGGATCTAGGCTATTATGATTCCTGAATTGGAGCCAACTTTTCCACCTCAAGATGATTGACAGCATTCAGCCTTTTTACATAACTATCGTAAATAGCGTTCGTAGACCATTTCTCTTAAGAAGCATGGTCTTGCTGCTTTCCCCCACCCCACTTGCGATAGTTTAAAGGTCTGTCACCCATTTGGGGGACCATGGTTCGCACCCTCAGACTCAACCAGTCCTGAGCGTGCGATGGCCCTGTGGTATCAGGGGTTTCTTCCTTGACATGTATTCGGCATGGTGCGATGCCGAAAGAGAAAAGGATTGAAGCTTGTCACTGAGGCTCATCCATTGCAGTTTCTCTCTCTAACAACAGAAACCGCAGTAGATAAGCCATCAATCATGCATTTCGTTGCATTGATTGACTTCCTACGACTCCATAGACGTCACTCAGTCATGCATCTTCAGAAGATAATTCCATTGCCCCATTCTGAAGCGAGAATGCCGTGAAGAAGATGATAGCAGTGGACCACTGGACACTGACAGCAAAGTATGGCACTAAACTAAAAAATAATATTAGGCACTCTTACTGTTTAGACTCGGCGTTTCATGTTGTGATTAGTCTGATATCGACATCGCCTTAGCTACAGGGACTTTATTCAGCATCTCTTCGAATTGCCCTGTGAATCGATTCAGTACAGTAAAAGGAGACTGCCGAATGCTGGTTTCATCATCGTCATCGCCTCTCTATCATCTTATTGCTTGTTCTTCCTCTTCTATTATTATTATTGATTCTTATTTTGCTCTTTTTTTATCCAACTACTTTCACACTTCATCCTCTTTTTTTTATTTTAAATTTTTGTAGAAAAAGAAAAAGTAAAAAAAAACTAATTTCTCCCCCTTCCTTAGGTACCTATTATTCTTCTCAACTGGGGACATACCCAACACTCTAATCTTCATAGAGTTGCGCAAATCATAACCTTTCAAAGCTATCTGCGTTTTCTAGAAGAAGAGACCTCATAATAATAATTATAATTATTCTCTCCATCATCAATTGAAGTGGAAAAAATAAAAAAAGGAACATTACTGTCGGGACCTTCAGACCACGAAACTTCACTCTTTTCACCTACTAGATACATCCTCTTTCTCCTACTCTTTCTGCTACTCTGGACGGACTATCTTGCCTTTTTTTATTATTATCCTTTTTTCTTCTCTTCTATCCCTTTTCTCTTCAACCTTCTACCTTTCTATCATTTGAATACTGCTGTTTTTACTTTCTCTTTATCCACTTTCTCTCCTTATTCTCCTTCATCCGCCCCGTGGACGCACCCTTTTCGGTAGGCCGAGGAACCTCAGACGCTTCTCTTCGCTCTATGCTCGTGCATACGTCGACTGCGACATCCTACTACCGTACGACTTCGTCTGTCTCGTTCTGTAAACTGGACGAGGACAAGCGAACAACGACGTTCGACAACTACTCCTGCAGAAGAGCGATCTCTAGTGTCGAATCTCGATCAGCCTAATCATCTCTGAAACACGTCCTTTATTACGATTTAATATCTATTAATATCCGTGGATTGTCCGTCTCTGCTGTGGGAAAATACCAACCACAGAGTGTGGAGAAATACATCGCTGAAACGTGGAGGGGCGACTGTCGCGAGGCCATCAATTATTCGCTTAATCCTCGAAACAACGCATCACATCATTCACCAATTCTCCAGCTCGACCTAACAGCCGCATTCCTCGTCTCGTTTAGATAGGCCCTAGACAATCTCTCTGTTCTGTTCTGGTCCGTTGTGCATGGCCTCAGCCCGTGGTTCCCTGCATCTACCCTCCACAGTCCACCCTCTCCCCTCCTCCGTCTTAGTGCGATTGATGCACCCTCGGCCCAGTGGCATCTTTGCGCCATCTCTCGCCGTTTTGGAGCTATGCCCGCAGTCCTGGTCCAGAATATGACATCTTTACCGAATACACAAGCTCCCATCATGGAAAACCCCACCGCTGACAAGAAGCGCAACAAGCTGGGATACCATCGCACATCAGTCGCATGTGGTGAGTCACATCCCATTCTCCCTTCTTGTTAAGCACGCACGTTCTTTTTTATCCTTACCGGCCAATCAAGTGGTGCTCATGCTCTGGCGCAATAGTACACTGCCGACGGCGGAAGATTCGATGTCTGGTGGCAGCCGACGACCCCCAGGGTCGATGCGAAAACTGTATCCGACTGCGCAAGGAATGCCAGTTCTTCCCGGTTGACCAGCAGCCTCCCGTGGAGAAGAAGTCCCGGCCAAACTCTAGACTAGAAAGCGCATCAACAGATCCTTCGACTACCTCTTCATCACCTCCCACGATGGGCGGAGGTGCTGACCACTCCGAGTCATTCTTTCCTTACCAACCCATGCCCTTAGACGCGAGCCAGGATGCGTCGGGGTTCCATGCCACTTCTTTTCCCGGCAATCCCATGTCATCATTCGTACCAGGTAGGCGGCGGACGCACTCGCATATGTTAACAACAGCTTTGCTGACTGAACCTCGTATCGAAGGGTCCACAGATTTCGCAGCAGCACCAACATTAGACCCGTCAGTTCCGTGGGACGAATACACGACGATTTCTGACCCCCAGATACTGAGCGCAATGGCTGCAGGGAAGCACCAGATGATGAACATGCCTCCTAACGCATGGAGTCCGGGACCGAACAATATGGTGCCTATGCCTCCCAACCCCGCAATGGCAACAACGCCAACGGTCCCGTCCCAGTCGCAGCCGATCAGCCCCGTACAGGCGTATGCCATGCAACCGGACGGCTCAGTTTGGCCGGTGCCCCAACCGACACGCTCAATGACCTTTCCGGCACAACCGGAGATGGCTTCGTATCCGAATCCGAGCCAATTCAGTCAGCAAATGCACACGGATCTCAAACGCAGAATGACGAGTCCCGCTCAGGGATACCCGGGGACGCCTGTCAATCCTCAGAGCCCCCCGCCTGCCGAGTTACAGGCGACAACGGTGTCCATGTCATACCCCGGGCAGCCAGCGGGCATGGGCTACCCCGGATGGCATGATATGAACGGTATGCCGACGATGAACGTAGTGCAATATCCTATGTATACGGCGGACCCGACACAGCAGGCAGCATTTGGAACTCCCCCGGCACATATGGGTCATCCCGGGCAGGGCCCGCCGCCGACTTCATGAGCCGGCTGCTTTACAACCGACCCCGGAGGAAAGATATTCGACAAAAAAAGAATTATATTGTTTTAGAATAATACCCAGTGGCACGCATGCATTCGTTTATTCGCTTCTCCGTTCATACGAATTTCTCGTCATGGCTTTTCACCTTGCACACTGGTCATTAGCGGGCGCAAAAAGGATCTTTTGGGCGGCATTTTCTGGTCATTCGTTTCTTCCATTGCGATACCTTTTCGTGCGATATCATTTAGACTTGGCGACGTCTTCAGCTCGCATTTTCATTTTTCACTATCGTTCCAGCCTTCGCTCACGATCTACTTCTCATTTCATCATTTCATTCTTCAACTTGACATGAGGCATGCACCAGTTCGCTCGAGTTCTTACTATCAACGAGGGGGGCTCAAGCAAAGACTGGCCCGTTAAAGCCCGCTTAGGTCCTTCTGTTTGCCATACCTCTTTCACGGCCTGTCGACCCTCCCTCCGATATGCCTGTCCAGCATCGTCATTATCATAATATCCCTGTTTCACGACATTGACTACAACCGTTCCCATTTACCTCATGTTTGATTTAACTGTATAGACTTTCTTACCCCTTCCGAGAATTCCATTGCCATGTTATATGATACCAAGCTGCATTGCATACATCGCTAGATTACAAGCTAGAATAAATGAACGGGTGACGAATCTGCTACACATCATCTAGTCCAGCAGCTACCCGATAGGATCAGACAGGTGTCGATCAGTTCGTTCAGGGGTCGTTGCTGTCCTCCCTGTAGGTATGAATCCTGTTGAAGCCTTGACCTGTTCGCGCTGTACAAATCCAGCCATAATATATGACTCACCCAGCCCCAACAGCTTATATACGGCCCAGCTCGACTCAGACGAGTATGAGATTGGACAGCGTCGAAAGGCTGGTCAAGTTAGGATCTTTAAATCGAAGCTCGTAATGCATAGCCGACAGGTGAGAACGTAGGCCACAGAACAGATCAGAGGAGCCTACGGAGTAGATATATCAATCACTGCTCATATGTACCTGAGTTAGATACGTATACTATCAAGGACTAGATCTGATCAATAGCATTGTCGGCCTTTATCTTCTCCCAAATAACGTTACATTGCATTAGGGCTCGCAGTACGGACGATGGACCAATATACTGGGCCCGACATCCTCCGCGGAGAAAGCTCATCGATCACCATCACGACTTGGCCTTGTAAGGTCTAGTCTAGTGCTGTGGCGAGCTACTGTGTTTCGGGTGCATGACAGTTGAGTCCTCGGTACTCTACAATGCCTTTTTGCATTTCTAGTCTACGTTCTACGTAGAAATCGTTGATGTTCCTTGAGTAGAACCATAAAGATCTGAGGTATACGCCATAGGCAGGAGACGGGGCGGCGATGAGATGCTGGTTGTCAGTCAAGTGTATGATGATGAGATGCCAATGAAAATGAAGCATGCTCCTTATCAGGGGATCTCGTAGAAGAGCAGGGATTGTATCTGTGCTAGGATCTCGGCGAGCTCAGTGGATGAGCCGCTCAGAGATATGATAACGGCTCATAAATGCTTTCTCCTGTGTGCAATCAAAATGAGTCAATTGATCCATGGGGTTTAAATGTAATAGAAGAGAGCATTCTAGCATATATTAAGCTCCAATCGCATGGAAACCGAATAGGAGTATCTGGGGTCCATGTGGAGAAGATCCGGAGAAAGGAGAGAGATACGCAAAACAGCCTCAGGCCATGTTGATACTACCATTGGCATTGGCCTGATAACGACATCGCCTGATAGCCATTGAGGATGCTGAATTGCCAGCGGCGCATCCCTATTGCTCCTGTGGATGGCAGGGTATCGTGACGTGTCGGGTGCAAATCATGGTCTTATCTACAACGCCCAGGAGTCTAAGATGCAAAGTTATCGCGGAGCAACTCTCCTTTTCCTGTAATCGGCTTGATTCTTTCGGTCTGAAACAAAGGGCGAGCATACAAAACCAGACCCGGATCCTATTGGGGCTGAGATGAATGGTTTGGTTCTTCTGCGTCGGTGAGAGCAGCAATTTGACTATCCGTGACGCCTTATCATGAGGCTGTGGAGTGATGATAAACTCCGGATTACTTTTGCGCGCGTCTCAGTCTGCGAGCCAATCTTATATACTCGTAGGAGCCGTGCACTTGTGTCCTGTTTCTTTTTCCTGCTCCTCATCATGATGTGCGCTGGGGAGCCTTAGGTTTCGGGCTTGCAGCCACGCCCTCCGATTCTGACAAGTCAGGCGTCGACTCAAGTGTCGACTGCATATGATGACTCTTTCTATAAACTGGCAGTCTTCCCTTGTCCTCCTTCTGAACATTCACGCCTCAAAATGGCCCTCTCCTTGGCAGCCAGCCACGCATCCAGCAATAGCATCAACAGATGTGGATCATCCTTATGCCCACCAACAACTCATTCCTCAGCATCACAAATTCATGACTGTCTCCGAGAAATAAGGCGATCTTTTCGACATTCTCCAATTGCCACAGTCGCTGTACTGATATATCAAGATGCAGCCAGGAGAAGCGGGGAAAGGAGTTCGGTTTATTTTCTGCTTTCCCGCCGCAGCCGCCAGAAATGCCCAGCGGACAACCATGACTGGTCGCTGGGCACTGCTTCTCCCCATGCAGTGTGGGGGAGAGCTTGAGCTTCAGCCTTTTCATCTCATCAGCATTATTCCTCCAAGAAGATACCTGAGACCAAAAGTACCGTTGGTAACTGTCCATCTGGTCTCGCTCATTGGACCATACTAACGGCTCACTCTCGACTCCGTATGGTTCCAATCAGATCCATTACTAGTTTCGACTCTCAACAGCAGAGTGGTACGTAGCGCAAAATATGCTTGCCTTAGCTGAGACTAACACACCCGAGGGGCTAGGATTCGGGCTCTCTTTTGCTTGCCAAACGGGCCGAGTGTTTGAGCAGGACCACTGCGTACGTCAGTTGTCTTACATCGCTTCTTGTGCTCCGCGCTGTTTATGGTACTCAACTCCGTACTACGGAGTACAGACGTACAATCCAAGTGATATGGCCATCGCTGCATACACAGCTGATCTGCTATTGCCACAACTGTTTGGTTTGATTTCTCCAGGAATCTCCTGCTATTCTCCGCCCCCTGGTCCGGAACTCAAACGGGATCATCGTTACTGTCGGCCTATCAGCCCTCATCAAGTTGCAAAGCACGCGACAATACCTTGGTCCGTCGGCTATATTGCTTTGACCATTTGCTTTCCCCATCGTTTTTCTCCGTATTCCTCGGAAACTCTCAAAATGCATTCAACCATGATAAATTGCTATCGGTCAACCAAGGGCCCCTGCCAGAAAGCAATAATCCTCATACAAATGGATCATTGGTGATCAGCAAGCATCACCTCGGTTCGTCAGCATTGAGAAGCAGTGACTAGTGTCGGCCACAGTCTCTCAGTGGCTGCTCATGCGCCACGCACCCACTTTCATTTAGCTGTCCCTGACAAACCCCTCTTGGCCTGGCAAGTTGTCGCGCGTTTTTCGCCACGGTTTATGAGTGAGGCCAGTTACCATTTTAAGAGGTGATGTAAGTTCTCGAAGACCAAGGCAGTCTGACAGCCAGAAGAAACTGACATAGTAATTGCGTCGTCTGCGATTCGTCCCGATCGGCGATATCTCGTGGTCCCATTGGTCACGGAATGACCAAGGCTAATTACTTTGTTCTGCTCTTATCAGCATTATCTTGGCTTATCTCGATTCCGGCGTGGGATACACCATATCTCCATCTTTATCAGACGCTAGTGCCGGTGGAGTCCTGCCCTCGTTGTCCATCGCGTGGGGCCGAGAACAGGATATTGTACCCACACGACGACACTGCATATCTGCCTGTTAACATTCTTCTTGTTACTGGCCGTATATGGGATGACTGGCGGGTTTGCTATTACCTGCAAATCGAATCAGCTACACCTAGGCTCGGCTTGTCGATATGCGCGAGGCATATGCCGCCCTGACAATTTGCGCCCGGGTCCCAGTTTGACAGCTTCTTTTTCCAGCGCTCAATGGCAAGAGCTGGAGCCGTACTTTGTACCGTGCTTGCTATCATTTTGCCGGTGACTGCATAAGAACTACTAACCTATGCTTTACTAATGCAGCGACAGGAATGGACCACTGCTCGAGGAGGAAATTTGCACATCACTGCCCTGCCTTTCCCTCCTCCCCGATGATCGCATCCACGCGATCGACCATTGCCTGATCCATACTTTCCAGCTGAGGGACATTGCATCGCGTTTCAAAAAGATGAACAAATCGAGCACCGATCGTATTCATTCAATGACGATGTGTAGCCATTCAACGCGAAATGGAGAAGTGGCCGAGACCCCGCAATAAGAGAATCGGTTCAACGGTGGGGTTTCAGCACCAATCAATCTGAATGTTTGAATCACTGATGGATTGGGTTGTGGCTTCTACTGCTGGTACATACTAACTCTGGCAAGAAGGCACACGTCTGTAGATGATCCAGCTGGATCCGTGATTCGCCAGTCCCTGTCTTTTGAAATGTGGTGACGAGCCTTACCATACGCCGCTTCATTACCGGATCTATACCAAACCTCGGGTAAAATAGGAATTCTGGTAATCCCGGTGAGGTTCGATTCCCAATGCGCCTCTAGATCCTCTACTATTGCTTCTGCTTTCTATCGTCTGGGTGCAAGAGCCGGAGTAGTATCCTCCAATTAACCATCCTCTTAGCATTTCTCCAGATGGAAGGAATCCCGGGATTCCCCCTTCGAACTGATAGCAGCCGAGACTCAGGCGAGAACGGCAAACAAGCTTAGAGATGTCGCTCAGCCATGTCGGCAATGGTCTTGTCTGAGCCTCCGAGGTCTCAGACTCTGGAGATCGGAGTGAACGATTTGTTCCGGTCTCAAGCCATCTAAATCGTGCTTAGTGTGCTATTTAATTTCGGGACGTGTCCGGTCCAGACGGGTTGCCCGAGTGTTCGACCTCGAGTCCCGCCCCATC